AAAAAAAAAAAAAAAAAAAAAAAGGGGGGAAGGAGGAGGATTTTTTTTCTTCCCCTCCTCCTTCCTTGTAAGGAAGGGTATTTACCATCCCATTTGGCTCGATTTTTCCAGATCAAAATTGGCGGTCCCCGTTCCCGAGCAAATCTGTCCGAATTAGATTCAATTTCACAACTGATGAAAAAAGATACAAAATCAATACGCCTTTCGTCTTTGATTGAATCCTTTCACAACGAGTCTTGCTTTGGAAATCGTGGTTGGGAAGTCGTGTTCTTCCTGCCTGATCCTGAACATCCACTTGTTCTTTAAAGCTTTCTTCTTGCCTTTAAGGCAACATCACCAACTCAAATGTTTCCATTCTCATGCAAGGGACTTCATTTCATCTTTGCATGGCTTCAATGCCGAGTTCGTTTTGTGTTTCATCTTTCAAGCTTCTTCAAGCTTTCCAGGTTCTCCCTCGTCATCGTCAATACATACTCGTGACTGGATATCTAAGTAGATGGTTGTCCTAACCTCTCTAGATCTTCTTAATGTTTGAGAACTTCACGGTGCGTGGTGGAACATGAACACCATAATCTTCATCTAGTTCATTTTCATTAGGAACTTCTGGATTTTCTAACTCTGACACTTGTTCTTGTGGAACATTTTCCTCATCTCCAATTTGTCTGTGTTCTATTGGAGGGACTATCTGTATGTCTGTTGAGTCTTCATCAAACCTATTAGTACTCAGCTTCTGAGTCTTTTCAATATCTTTAATAGTCTGATCTTCAACAAATACAACATCACTACTTCTTATAATCGTCTTCTGGATTGGGTCATAAAACTTATAGCCAAATTGATCTTGGCCATAGCCAATGAATACACACTGTCTAGTCTTGACATTGTCTAGTCTTGACATGCAAGCTTAGACGCGTTCATCTTCGGGACATGTACGAAGGCTTTGCAAACCAAACCCCGTCAAATTTGATCATAGAAGAATTCATTTCCCTGACCATACTCTTTCTGGATTATCATACTGTGAGGAACACAAGGTGAGCTGCTGTAAGAAGAGTTTACAGCCCAAACTTTAGACAACTTTGCATGTGAGAGTAAACATCTGACTCTCTCCATCAAGAGTTCTATTCATTCGTCTCGGCCAAATCGTTCAGTTGTAGCGTCTTGGGAGGTTGTCCGTTTGATGTCGAATACCATGCTCTTTGCAGAAAGCATCAAAATGGCCAGTGTATTCTCCAACCATTATCTGTCCTGATGCACTTCAAGCTTCTTGCCTGTTTGTCGCTCTCAACTAGGTTTAGAAAATTGTTTAAATAATTTCTAACACCTGATCTTTTGAACTTCAATTGTTAAACCCGGTCTTCCTAGAATGGTCATCGTAAATGTCAAAAAATATAAGATTTCCCCCATATGAACTCGTCAATCGGTCACACAAATCTGAATGAATCAGATCTAATACAAATACATTCTTCATTCTGGAAGGAGGGGTAATCTTGAAAGCTACTCTGTTTTGCTTTCCCGCCATACAATCAGGACACTTGTCTAGGTGAACTTTATCCAATCCACATACTACGTTCTTTCTTGCCAGAGTTTTCTCACTCATGTAGCCTAGTCGTTTATGCCACAATTCAACTGTACTGTCATTCTCCGCTACATTCAAAGTGTCTTGGGAGAGTTTCGCATGCATCACGTACAGCTTTGGGTCTTTGACTACCATAAACAAACCTTTTGTGAGATTCCACTGACTATTTCTGAAGGTGCTACAGAAACCTTCATCATCAAGTCTGTCAACTGAGACTAAATTTGAATGCATGCTCGAAAGCCCATTCCTCATCAGTCTTGTCTTCTGGTTTAGTTGAACTAAACACGGGCAAATGCATTTTGATTACCATAAGGAGATCTCTCATAAGGAGATCTCTCATTTTATTTCTCCATATATGGTAATTTGCACCATTTAGACTGATCATTTTGCTTGTCCGTTTTCACTTGCGCAGAATATTAGCACCAACAGAAACCGTATACGTGAATAGTGACCAGAAATAGTAATAGTATACGAGAATAGTAACTATATGTGTGAATAGTAAATGTACTCGTACATAGTTCTATATATGAATATTGCTGGGCGTAAGAGTGACGGGTTAGCAAAGTAACGCTAGTACTGTTCACCATCAACTTTGAGTTACTATTTTACTATACATCACTAAGTCGATTTTGCAACGTCTTTCCGAGCGAACAGCACCAATGGACTCGTCGTAATTTTCTCTTCATCGTGGTATATTTATTTTTGAAATATACTCGTCGTAATTTTCTCTTCATCGTGGTATATTTATTTTTGAAATATATCCACAGATCCAGTACCGCTATCTGACCAGCTAGACCTGTCAAAACCTTAGGCTCTAATATCACTTGTTAGAGGCCCGTCAATAAAATTATGAGAATAATTACGTAACAGAATAATCAAAATTGTGACACAGAATTTACGTGGTTCACCCTTAATTGTTTAGAATTACGTCCACGGGACAAACTCCAAATAATTCTTTCATTATTAAAAATAGTAGGCTTACAAAGAGAGTAATACAAAAATAGCGACACACAAAGTGTTTCCCAAAAATAACTCAAAATAATTTCCTCACTATTTTTCACTCTCTTAGTTTTAGGAAATCCTTGCTAAAACTAGATAACTCTTTCTACATTTTTTTTTTCTTCTTTCTGCTGTGTATTTTGTGAGCTGTAAGTGCCTCTATTTATAGGGACTGAGATACGTATAATTAACGCGTTCATGTCTAACGCGTCCACCGCATAAAAACCGTGTGCCGTAATTCAAAGCCATCAATTTTGAATTCTCTTTTCTTTATTTTATCCATATGGGTCCCATAAGTGGGACCACCACAACAAGGTTTGTGAGTAATTGGATGGTGCACCCAATAAAAGTCGATTAGTTTTATACACACGAGATTCTATGTAAATGATTTAAAATAGTGTCCGCATAAAACATATATAGAGAAAATTTTGTCGAAGGATTGAACTTATGCTCAGAACTTAAAGAGGAAAATATCCATAAGTAAATTAAAGAGCGTTGAAGATGGGTTATTAATATAGCCAACAAGAGGAATTGATTTATTTACCAGGAATGTGAGGGAATATACGAGGAAGAAAAGGCCGAAACACGCCTTGTTGAATTTTCCAATCAATTGGATTTAGACTGGTTGCGTCTAACTTTAGCAAAACCTCATCTTTCTTTGGAGTGGGGACTGGAACTTCGACATGCTGCAACAAGCAAAAAAACAGATTAAAATACTTAATTGGTAGTGTTGTTCCCGCTTAGATTATTTATATTTAAACCTCATCCTAGTATTCGTAATAATAATATCAGATCATACACTAACAGAGAGGAAGCAGCTAATTAATCATCTATAAGAGCATATTATGACCATAATAATTAATTTTAAAAAAATGATCAAATTAGAGGTGACCTTTAGTCCTGCTGCTCCTCCACCATAACCATCGTGTTGAACAGCATGCATTAGCCTCCTAGCCATCTCCACAAGAATTGATGCTGTTTGGAGGGAGAGTATAGCGTTTGCATAAATATAAGGAAGAGGGAGAGAGTAGAAAAGCGGTAGTAGAACCCAAAAGCTTTGACTTTGACCTTGATAGGTTCTGCGTTGACCATTATGAACCTCCGATTTCTCGTTCTGTAATGGCAGGGTATTGTGCAAAGACAAAAGCATCACCAATCTCTAACAAATATCACTTTTGTACGGCTGGTCTAATGTAAACACGGACTCGCAACCTTTATTCAAATAAATGCTGCACCGGTTGAAGCATCAAACATCAAACAACAGAGTCGAACAAGAAAATAATGAAATTCTAAGCTTCATCATTTATATAAAAGCATTCAAGAGAAAAGTACAAAGCAAGATACACACATCATTGTCATCTTTAAATACTATACAATCCATATCTCATCATCATCAAATACAATCCACACATCTTTGAATCTATGGTAATCGATAGTTTAGCAATTGAAGGACTATACTTTTATCTAAGGCTCCACAATGATCTTTCCAGTAGCATGGCCATCAATACTCTTAGCCCAAGCATCTTCAGCCTTGCTCAAAAGGTGCTTCGAGTCGATAATGGTCTTCAGCTTCCCTTCCTTCACCAATTTAACAAGATAATCCAGCTTATCAGCCTTGGGAACCAAAAGTAGTGGCACCAGTTGCTTCTTGGAGAAAGTAAGTTTCTTTAGAGCGAAAGTCGTCAAGGCAGCGACACCAGGAGTAATATCTATAACCTTTCCAGTTTCACTCAAATTAGGCTCAAAAGTACTCCAAGGAATAGCACTAGTACAATGGATCACTGCATCATACTTTCGACCAGATGGAGACTTTAGAGCTGCTCCCTCTGGGGTCTTGTAATCAAGAACCTCATCAGCCCCTAAACTCTTTACTAATTGAATGTTCCGAGCTCCACAAGTGGCTGTCACATGTGTGTTACCAAGCTTTGCTAGTTGAACTGCATAGTGACCCACACCACCAGAGGCAGCGGTGATAAGAATGTTTTTCTGGTCACCGCTTCCATCAAGCTTGATCCCAGCAGCTTGAGTGAGAGCTTGCTAGTTGAACTGCATAGTGACCCACACCACCAGAGGCAGCGGTGATAAGAATGTTTTTCTGGTCACCGCTTCCATCAAGCTTGATCCCAGCAGCTTGAGTGAGAGCTTGGTGAGCCGTGATACCAGCGACTGGCAACCCAGCACCTTCAGCTGCTGAGACTTCAGGCGGCCTTGCTACTGTCAAGTTCTTCCCAGCCACTGCAAACTCAGCTAATCCACCCCCATTCTGTTGGTAGCATGACATAAAATAATTACTAACAGGAAAGGAGATAAATATAGATGAAAAAATATTAACAATTGTACTTTCACCCCGTCCTAAGCGTTTTCAGAAGAACTAAAATGATGTAAGCCACATTGACCAAGTCCCGCTAAAAACGAGTCAAACCAACTCCCATAAAAACGTTCAAAAAGAGAGGGAGAGACATGAACAAATATAAAGAATAGTAACAATTGATGATGGGCAAATTGCTAAAAAAAACCTGCATTCTTTGTTTTCATGATCAACAAAAAGCATAAACAACAAAGGAAGTGAGAGGAAAACATATTTCAATTTGGCTTCATCAATTAACTGGTGTGATAAGATCAAATTTCAAAGTGGTCAATAGCGTCAAAAACTAAACCACCATGATTTACAATTATGCAATCAATAACATGTGGCACCCAAAACCAATACCTGCAGCAAGTAGTAAATGGTTTACAGAATCTAGAAGCAGTAACCTAAGCAAATTAATTTGTAAAATGCTCTTATTCTATCTTGCAGCATGATAAAACCTCCTGAACTTTCATAATGACTTTGACAAATTTGATTATCCAAAGGCTGCAGCTGATCAATGACATTGAGCATATGCCTCTCCATCTGATTGAAGCTGACACATCCAAAGAAGAGTTGCTTAACTTCACTTTTAGGACTGAGTTGCCATGAAGCAGAAAGTTTCACTAATGATAATTTATTTCATGATGAAGGTTAGTGATTTCACTGGTTTCCTTGCTTGGAAAATTTTGAAGATCCCAAGATTCGCCACTCCGGAGACAAGATAATTTGGCTATTTGTTGCCAAATGCTTGCAAATGATTCATCAAATATAGCACTCCCTAAGTTTTTTTAAAAAACATGAAATCTTCAATTAGTCATGACACTTCTTATATCTTGCCTTTCTTATCTCAAATCTTTTTCCCCTCAACTGCCTCCCCTCTATTACTCATCCACATTAACTGACTTAAGCCACTTACAATTTTATTTAATGACTTGATACTCCCAATCCATCATTACTATCTTAGAACCCAAGGACTAAGATGGACTCAGAAAAGTGAAAAGGATGGGAAACAATACAGATAACAATTAATCAATGATAGAGCACTCACAGCATGACTAAGCATGGCAACAACTTTATCGCCAGTTTTGAAATTGGTTACTCCTGATCCGACCTCTACAACCTCTCCTGCCACATCAGTACCTGTTGCACCAAAAAAAAACGCAGGAAAAAAAAATTTTATCCCAAATCTCAATTGTTCTCACTTTCAGGTAATATATATCAGTCAAATTATGCATAAGTTAATGGAACCCAAAGGCTAACAATACATGGGATTTTCCCTCAAATAATATTCGCAAAGTAATTGCAGCATGGGGAGCATTTGAAATGGTAAATAAAATAAAATACCAGTTTAAATTTTGTCAATTTATAATGACCTTGTTAGTTAGTTTACAACTTTGAGTCAAATGTTGGATAGTTAAATAAGTTTTTAATAGTTGAGTTCTCCTTTCCTTCTTCCTTGTGCTTGTGTGTGTGCGCGCGCACACGCATGTGTAGTTGACCAGCTTCTAACAGACCTAAACAATATTAATGCAATCCGAGCTAAGAAATATTCTGCTGAGACACATATGTCATGTCCCCAATTAAAATAAAATAGCATATGAAATGGCTTATAGTAACATAACCATCAATGAAGATTCATTTACCAGGAATATGAGGGAATCTACGAGGAAGAAAAGGCCGCAACATGCCTTTTTGAATTTTCCAATCAATTGGATTTAGACTAGTTGCTTCCAACCTCAGCAAAATTTCATCTTTCTTTGGGGCGGGCGCTGGAACTTCAACATGCTGCAACAAGCAAAAAGTTCAATTATACCAAAGTAACTAATATTTGCTTACAAGCACTTTTAAATACTTGAATATTGTTGTGGTGTGCCCACTTATGTTGAATCCACAACAATTATGAAGAAGTGGTGTATCCACGTGAGTGCAAGTGGTGTGCCAACTCAAAGTGGTGTGTCCACTTGAGTGTAAGTGGTGTGCCAACTTAATTGGGACCCTAACTTCTCCTAAAAATAGAGGAGAAGTTTGCTTCATCAAACACACAAGAAGAAGATAACTCATACTTAGAAAGAGTTTTTTAGTTTTAGGAAGGTTTTTCTAAAATTAGGGGAGAGAAAAAATAGTGAGGAAATTATTTTGGGGGGGGAGAGAAAAAATAGTGAGGAAATTATTTTGGGGTGTTTTTGGAAACACTTTGAGTGCCACTATTTTTGTATTACTCTCTTTGTAAGCCTACTATTTTAACAGTGAAAGAAAAATTCAGAATTTGTCCCGTGAATGCAGCACTAAGGATGAACCACATTAAATTTCGGTGTGTCATTTTGATTATTCTCCTACGGTAATTATTATTTTAATCTATCGAGAGGGCATAACAAATATGTGATACGATTTCAAGAATTTACCAACCAACAATCATAAAAATATAATATATACGCCACATATCAAATAGTCAAGGTTAAACATCACTAAAACTTCATATTAGCATTTTCTTTTGTTTAGGTGGGGCATGGGTTGAATTTGACTTATCATTTCAATTTGCTATGCATCCACATTTCATACCAAATGAGTCAAAACATAGTCACTTTACCAAAAAAAAAAAAAAAAAAAAAAAAAAAAAAAAAAAAAAAAAAAGTGCTTAACCTTTGTTCAGACAAATAATTATTTGAAATAATGAGCACTTTAAAATGAGATTATACTTAAAGTATAAGATTTTTGTTCACTTGGAACACAACTTCAGATTATCAATATATTACATATTAAATGGACTATAAAAAAAAAAAAAAAAAAAAAAAAAGTGCTAACCTTTGTTCAAGACAAATAATTATTTGAAATAATTGAGCATTTAAAATTGAGATTATACTAAAGTTATAAGATTTTTCACTTGGAACACAACTCAGATTCATCAATATATACATATTAAAATGGACTATTATGATAACAAATGATTACACATTAACAAATCTTAGATGATAATATTAGTAATCACTCATTATAATAATTAACAAGCAGCTAATTAATGCCAAGTATGACTTAAAAGTAATTGAATTTAAAGTAAAACTGACCTTTAAACTAGCAGCTCCACCACCATAACTATCGTATTGGAGTGCGTGCATTAGCTTCCCAGCCATATCCAGAAGATGCGACGCCGTTTGAACACACAAAGGGTGGTAGGTTCCGGAAGAGATGGAAGAAGTGAGACAAGTAGAACTTAGAACAAATAGGTCTCGATCTTGTTTTGTGTTTGGTGCGGCTTTGCGGCAACTGCTTGTACATATAAATTTATATGGCACTCTAAAATGACTGAAAAGACCCCATATTCTAACAAATAACCTCTTTTGCGGACATTGTCATTGTCGCTTGTCGAATGTAAACGTGGCCCCACGATACAAATCCTGTTAGCCGCCTTTGTTGAAAACAATTAAAAAAAAAAATTGCTCAATACCACGTTGGGAACAAGAGTAAAAGAGGGTGGTAGATTTAGTTATAAAATAAAGCTAATATTTAGTTTTCTAAACACAGAAAATATTTGAATGTATTTTATATTAGGAATTTAGAGTAAGTCTTTTAGAGTCTTTTAAAGTATAAAATATTTGGAGAGTTTTGAGGGTGTCGGGTAGAAAAATATTTTATAATTATGGTTGTCACAATTTGCCACATAGTGAATATTTTTCTTGGTTGTCGTTTGGCAACGGCCATGGTTTTTCTCCACTTGTGGAGTTTTCCACGTTAAATTATCGTGTTATTTAATCTCTTTAATTTCTCAGTCATTATTTTATTTTCTTATTTGTTCCTACTTGAAGCCGATTAGAAGGGCGAGAAAATAGCGATTTTCCCAATAAATTCAAGTTTCCAGGCGCGATGCATTAGTACAATCCATTTGGTTTTTTTTTTTTTTAATATACTCTTATTTTAATTTGTTATAGTATTCATAATTTTCTTTAAATTCTTTGGTAGAGAGAGCATCAAATTGTGTGACATTATTATAAATATAAAGTTCATTATGAAAAATATAATTCTTCAAATTACATTAATTAAATTTTTTAATCTTTCTAAAAATAGAATAATACTATGTTTATATGAGGGAAGAGTGTAGGACAGCAATTCTTGGTTTCTAACCAAGAACCCAATAGAATCGACTCATTTTGGTCGGATTCAGATAGTTATTTGAAAATTTTAGTTACCGATCAGTTTGAATATATAAAACCATTTAGTTTTTAATTCTTGATTCAATAATCATATATAACTATCTGAATTTATTTTTTAAACTCAATATAACTAATTTTATTTTAAATAATTGAATCTAACTCAAATTAATTTGATTTGGATTAGTTATTATACCATTCGGTTTTAAATTCAATTGTCATAAAAATATATTCGGATGACCGAAATCAAACTGATTCGATTTGATTAGTTGAGCTGATCCTAAAAGAATATATAGTAAAAATGTAATAATTAAAATAATAAAAATGATACTAACGTTGCCCGTGCATGTGAATAGTTACATTTTTTTATTATCATCGATTTGTATTAATTATTAATTATATATACATTTAATTAAACAAATATTTACCTACGGTAATGCGCAAATAAATAAATAGGAAGTAATTAAAATATTTTTCAACTGAATGCCATTGTCAAGCAAAAAACAAGCCACCGACGACTCTATCAGGAAAATATATTTGTTTAAGATGGTGTTCTTTTTATGATACGTTTCTTAGAGTTGCTACAATTGGTAGAGATGGTCTTTAATGGAAAGACCAAAGCTATGGATTAGCCTATGTAAAAAGGATAAAGATTTAGTAGATAATAGAGATTATTAGGATTGAAATTGTTAATAATAAAGGAAAGATGCATGGTTATAGAAATTGATAAATATCTCTCTCTTACAATTAAAATTATCAAGAAATAAATTATCTAATGCATCTAAGATCAATAGCTCGTTAATACTAATTAAAAACAACCAAATTATTACATCCATAAGATAAGTATCAAATCAATGAAAAATAAAATTAATTTTCACTTTTAATGGTTATCTTTTATTATAATTAGGAGGTCAGTAAATCAAATAGTTCATATACCTGCTCAAGCTCTTAGTTTTTATGTCTGGTTCGATCAAATGGTCTATAAACTCTTCGGCTATTATTCAAGATGTAACATCGTTTGATACTGTGAATAATTAAATCTACATTTCAATAAAAAAAATAATCGAGATGACAATATGATAAAATAAAGGATAAAAATGGATTTTCAAAGCCAAATCAATTGTTTGGGAGGATGGAAAATAGGAGAAAAAAAATGTATAGAAAATGTAGATTATTTTTATTATTTATTTATTTATTAACTTAGGTGGTTGTATCTTAAAAAAATAAAAATAAAAATCTTATTAACTCATATAAACCACAAACAAATTAATTTTTTTTTGTTATTTTATATTTAAATTTTTTTGTTTAGTCTATAAATTATTTATTAAATATTTTGAAAAATATAAATAATTTTCTTATAGTAAATAGTTTAGCAATTCAGGTACATTAATCGTATATCTGAGGCTTCACAAAATAAACAATGATCTTTCCAAGAGCATGGCCATTAATACTCTTAGCCTCATTTTTCAGAAATATAATTTTGACCAATTTGAGGAAAACAGCACAAGGGGAAAATAATTAATTAAACAACTTGCAATATCTAAAAGAAGTAAAGAAAATGATAATTCCTATCATTTATTATCATTATAATATAATCCGAATTGATAAAAAGATAAATTTAAAAATAAAATAAAATAAAATAAAGCAAGCTAATGAAACCACATAGAACTACTCAGAAGATTGGCCAACTAGAAAGGTCAAGGGAAACAATTTGCTCCAGTTTTCACATTGTGAGAAGAATACTTCAGCTGATGAGAAACTAAAATAACTGTTGCTATTAGTACCTTAAGGCTCCACAATAATCTTTCCAGTAGCATGGCCATCCATACTCTTAGCCCAAGCATCTTCTGCCTTGCTTAAGGCATATTTGGAATCTATCACTGTCTTCAACTTCCCATCCTTCACCAGTTTAATAAGATAGTTCATGTTCTCAACCTTGGGACTCAAAAGCAAAGGCACTAACTGCTTTTTAGAGAATGTAACCTTCTTTAGAGCAAAAGTCCACATTGCACTAGGACTTGGGGTTATATCTATAACCTTCCCATTTTCGCTCAAATTAGGCTCAAATGTCTTCCAAGGAATACCTGTTGCACAGTGTATCACAGCATCGTATTTCCGACCAGATGGGCTCTTAAGTGCTTCCCCATCTGGGGTCCTGTAATCAAGAACCTCATCAGCTCCTAAGCTTTTCACAAATTCAATGTTACGTGCACCACAAGTGGCTGTTACATTCGTGTTTCCGAGTTTTGCTAGTTGAACTGCATAATGACCCACACCGCCAGAAGCAGCAGTGATCAGAATGTTTTTTGGATCGCCGGTTTTATCAAGGTTGATCCCAGCAGCTTGAGTGACAGCCTGGTGAGCTGTGAGACCAGCAACTAGCAATCCTGCACCTTCTGCGGCTGAAACTTCTGGTGGCCTTTCAGTTGTCAAGCTCTCCTTGGCCACAACAAACTCAGCAAATCCTCCCCCATACTGCATCAAATTGCAGACACTGTCAATTAATGTACAAACTAATGCATAATTAGAATTCACCATGATCTGCAAATTATATTAATGATCTTTTTTCTTCTTTTGGTTAATTTGCTCCAGCTACGACTCCAACTTGAAAGCTCACAACCTAAAGTCAAATCTAGTATCACTAAGTTAAAACTCATTAGTAGTAATGGTCGATTTTAAGGATAACATTGGTAGCTTTAAAGCATATATATCATGTACCTATATGAGAAATGTAACATTTGATTCAAACCTATTTCCTCTCTCTATTCTATTGAAGACAAGATTATTTATTCTCTTCACTTCTTCGAAAAATCTGTTCATATTTTTCCCCCTCTCCATACTGCAGCTTTTCATTCATACTGATTGATTTAAGACATGGAGCCAATGCCAACTTTTATAGATGAATTTTCCAACTCTACTAATCATCTGACACCAGTATCTTTGTATTTTTCAGTTTATGTTTTATTAAAGGGGAATGGTTCCATTGTCATAGGAGTTTAGAGTATAGAAATTCAATTAAATTAAGAGGGGAAAGAAAAAACAGGATAAGACTATCACTTACTAAATGGTTAAGCACACCTATGACTTTTTCTCCAACTTTAAAATTAGTAACACCTTCTCCAACATCCACAACCTCTCCAGCCACATCAGTACCTGTTCCGACAATAGTACAAACAAAATATTGACAAGAGATAAGGAATCTAATAAGAAAAAGAAAACCACAAAACTTCAAGAGATAATAATTACTTCTTAGCTAAAACCAACATACAACATACAAGCAGATATGTATGTAATTTCGTATGTTTTACAAAAGAAATAACATGAAGCAAGATAAGGAATCTAATAAGAAAAAGAAAACCACAAAACTTCAAGAGATAATAATTACTTCTTAGCTAAAACCAACATACAACATACAAGCAGATATGTATGTAATTTCGTATGTTTTACAAAAGAAATAACATGAAGCAATCATTCCCTTTGAGAATTTAACTTGGAGTTTTACAAGGTTGTAATTGAACCAATTAGCATCTGTACTGCATCTTTTTCAAGCTTCGATTACCCAAAAGATCTCAATTTTCTCCAAATCAAACAGAAGTTAGGAAAACAATAATAATACAACGGCGAAATTACCAAACTCTACTCCATAACAGAGAATATTTCTTGTAAGTGTAATAGGTTGTGCCATAAGCAGGGCATTTTGATGAATGAGAAAATCTCTGTACTGATTCATTTTTTTTTTTTTTCATTAGCTATCAGAAATATTAAATCTTTTTTCTTAATATCTGAAACAACTGAAAGCAATGTATCCAACGGTTTATGTCCATGAGCAGAAAAAATTTCCCAATTGATGTCTCAAATTCACTACAACTCTATTTAGTTTCCTTAACGAAGCCATCCATTTTCTTTTTCTTTTAAGCTTCCTACCCAATCATGAGTTACTACTAATTCGAATTTCTCTTTAAACCTGAGATATCATCTAAATAAATATTTTTCATACTGATAGCATTTGTCTCTTCTAAATTCCAGCTCTACCAATTAAAACATACTCCAAATTTGTTGCTGTTTGTGTGTGTATATATAAAACTGGCAAAGCAGTTCCGTTTCTAAGAAATAATTAATCAAACAAGAGTGTGCCTCAAATAGATTGTGTAAAATCAGATAAAAGGCAAAATTTTATTACCAGGTATGTAAGGTAACTTGCGAGGAACAAGAGGCCGCAACAACCCCTTTTGAATTTTCCAATCAACTGGGTTTATAGAAGCTGCTTCTAATTTTAGCAAAACTTCTTCCTTCTTTGGTAAGGGCACTGGAACTTCAACATGCTAAAACAAAAAGTCATGTAATTAAAAAAAAAAAAAAAAAAAATACTGTAATTAAAAAAAAAAAAAAAAAAGCAATGAAGCCATTTTTCATTTTAAAACCCAGATCATTAAAATCAGTGCACCCGCCATAACTAACCACCCCAATTCTGCAATTTCACCCAATCTAAATTATAAGAACGACCAACAATGAAAAAGCCGGACGCCAAAAAAAAAAAAAAAAAAAAAGCAATGAAAAGCCATTTTCATTTTAAAACCAGATCATTAAAATCAGTGCACCGCCATAACTAACCACCAATTCTGCAATTCACCAATCTAAATTATAGACGACAACAATGAAAAGCGGACGCCAGATAATAACTTTTTATATGGTGATCAAATGTAGGCATTGTAATGCTGCGTTTGGATCACATGTGAAACCTCAAGTTTACTTGAATCGAAAATCATAGCTTTTAATTATATTAGCAAATTATAAGACCTAATAAGAAATCAATGTACAAAATTGGGTTTTCATGAAAATCAAAAACCTTCAATCCAGCTGCCCCTCCGCCATAGCTTTCATATTGAACCGCATTCATGAACTTCCCAGCCATATCTATAAAAAGCGATGACGTTTGGAGTGGACGGAGATGGTGAGAAAGAAAAAAGGGACTAGGGAGGAGAGTGTGCGCGGCAATGGCGGGGTGGCAATTGAATATATCATTACATATACGTAACTGCCGACACGTGTTGCGTAAAGAGGAATTTCGATAGAACGTCACTAGATTAGACTATTAGAGGTTGCACTCGGGTTTGGATTTCACGGGTTCGGGTTTGGCTCTTTTTTTTCCGGGTGGCTTTTGATTCAATTTGCTTCCGCTTGTTTGTTGTTAGACTTTTAGGTCAACCATGCAGTTGGTAAGATAAAAAGAAAAAAAAATGAAAAATGAAATTAAATATTTCATGTAAATGAAATTAAATATTTCATGTTGTTTTCACTACTTATATATTGATTCTTTTTCGAAAATTAATTTAAAATAAGAAATTTTTTTAATTTTTATTAATTTAACAAAATCAACGGAATCATAATTCATTTTGAATAAAAAAAATTAAATCGAATAAAAATTATTCTTTATTTCACTCACAACTTAGGTTTCCATCACTTAGTAATTTTTTTACTTTTAATCAGATCAGAAAGGTAGACTTAATAGATTATATGAGAACTGAATAATAATAATAATAATAATACAATAATACTATATATCTGTCATTTCTCAGGCTTGCATAGTTATTATTGTAATAACAATAAATAATAATACAAGCGTGACAAATGACAAAAAAATAAAATAAAATTTTGTCATTACAAAAAAAGAAAAATTAAAATACTAGTTGAATCCGCAGTAGCTTCTCAGAAGAAATTTATGAATTGAATAGTAGTGTTGAATATTATTTTAAATTTGAAATGCAATTGCTAAACAAGTTTCCAGAAGCATTAAAACCTGCTGTTTTACTATTAAGACATAGAGACATCGTAAAACCCAAGAAAAAATCAACGTAGCTTTCCAGCCAAGTTGTCAAGACGAAGACCAAGTTGTCCTTCCTTGTGCGCGTACCAATCGAAAAAATTCGCGTTTTATTTCCACCTTGAACGTGCTTCCTTACCACCAAATCCAATGCAGCAACCTTAATGTTATTGGGAAAAAAAAACAAAAGAACATTCTTTAACATAATATTAATATCAACTTTCTTCAACAATAGACCTCGAAACAACCCTGTTCTGAAGAACACAATCCTTAGATCACATCATAACAAAAATGTATCCTTTTAGTATCTTATTCTTCCAACAATATATTAATACAAATTGATTTGTTAATCTGTTTGGTTTAGGTAATTGTTAAAAAATTCAAGAGTTGATGGCCAAGGCAAAGAGAAATCAAATCAGAATCAGCCGATTTCATTTCCAGCATTTGATTCATGAATATGGAAGACGGAGACAACCACAAATTTTGAAATAAAATTAGTACGATATCCGAAAATGGTACGATGGGAGTTGTGTTAAAAAATTCCAAAAACAAAAAAAAAGTTAGAACCCTTTCTTGGGCTTTTCTTTGTTTCTTGAACTTTTCTTTCAAGTCATCTTCAAGAATTGTAGATTGAGCTATGAGTTTGAAGAACATCTATCTGGAAAAATCATAACCATTTAAGATATGATACAAAAAGAGAACAAAACAAAACAATAAAATCACACCAGGAAGATCCTTATCCCTGTATCAAAAAAACAGGACAAATATTAATATTTAAGCATTTTCCGTTACATATCCAACAGCTTCTTTATAATTATTCCACAAATCAATCACCACAGTTGAAATCATCTCTGAAAAACCCTCAGCAAGCTCAGGTAAATCTTTCAACAACCCATCTAAAGAAGTTCTTGTCTTTTCAGCTAAACCTCCAATAGCTGATCCTGTAACTGCAGCTGAGCCCGTAACAGCCTCTATAAGAAGATCAAAAGCACTTGATATTAAAGCACTTATTGCTTCCATTACAAGCTCCAACAAAAACTCAAAGCATGCTTTTATAGCCTCTGCTATCTGTTGTAATGCTCCATGTGCAGCTTCACCTGGTACTTTAAGTGCTTGGATTATCAAAACAAGAAGATAAGCTGAAACGGAGAAGATTAAACGAGAAACGACATTTGATATTGTGTTTATAGCAAAGAAAATTAACCTGACAAGAAAAACTATCATTTTTCTTTGTGTTTGGATTTGAGAAACAGAGAGAGAAGGTAAAGAGTTTGTTATGTGAAAGAAAGAAATAATATGAAACTTTCAAAGGGAGTGTTGGTTTTTTATATTTTAAGCGATTAATTTATATAGTTGAAAGTTGAATTTTTTGTTGATGATGAAATGTTTTACGTGGAGTATCAGATGGGGGCAGTTGTTGTCCTTACTCATCACTTCTTCTTGGAAATTCAAGGAAACTATAAATTATTTATTTTTCAAATTGGAAGATTCTAACTAATGCTTTGTCAAGAATATAATTAGAGATATTAATTGACTTAGGTAGTTGAAGACTTCATCAACTTAATTTTCACGAGCTCAGTTAAGAACCTAATTAATTAGAAAGTCCAGTTGTTTTAATTAGTACTCCCCTGTCCTAAAATATAAGTCGTTTAAAGTTTTTACGCAAGGATTAAGAAAATAATTAATTTTCCTAGATTATAACAAATTCAATGGTAATTTGATTAAATTATCATTTATCTTAAAACCAATAGTCACTTGTGAAATTTATTGTATCTAATTTAAACAATGATAGCAATGGAAAAACATCCTTTATTACTCCTTAAAATACTCAAAATGATTTATGTTTTGAGACAGAGTGAGTAATATATATTAAGACCTAAGAATAATCTCTAAATTTGGATCCTAAATTCTAGGTGATCAGATAATTTGTTTATATTATATGAACGATTATGACAAATTGAAAGAGAGATTTTTTTTTTTCTTTCTGGTTTATAAACATATTTTCACGCTCGAACTAAAGATGATATAGGTAAAGCCTGTTCAATCGAAAGTAAGTAAAATTTATTGATGAAGTTAATTGATTTTATTTAGAATATCTGATTTGTGTTTTATTTTTTATAATTATAAGTTAAATATGAAACATGAATTTACTAATCTAATGGCAAATTTTATGAGGCAGGTAATATGATTATGTGGACTCGAAATTTAAATATTTGCAAGTAGCTTTTGGAGAAAGCAATCATTCTACTAGAAGTTGCTTGCAAGAGCTGTATTTTTAACCCCACGGCTATTACGTCATTGCAAGAGGAATTTTACTATTTTGAACACGCGGTGTTTTCTCTTTTTCAGAAGTAAGAACAGGAATTAAAAAAAATTTTTTTTTTCAGCAAAAGTTAAGTCTTGCTTTGCTAAGGTTGAAACAAGGTAACAAGGGAAGCCTAACCAACACAAAACTTTCTAAATTAAAAATCAAATTCATAATTCCAACAAGTATTTTCCTCGCTCTCTTTTCAGAACCACTAAATAATACTGAATTTACATGACTTTTCTTAATCTACATGCCCAAGTTATATAAGACAATTATTTTAAAGCTGAGGCAGTACTTATACTATAATGTACACTATACAACAAACTGTTGCGTTCTGAAAAATGGGAATAAAAGGAGAAATCAGAACTCATTTGTACAGAGAGAGTAAAACCTGATCGCCACTCCTTTCTTATTTAACATCTTCTCTATCTTTCTTCCACATTAGTTCTCATTAAGCTTAAATACAGAGTTGACGTACTCTTCTGTGTCCCAGAGGAACGAGCCAAAAGCGACTGCCTCCAAAATTAATCTCTTCAGACTTGAAAAAGATGTCAATATCACCTCATCATTTTCTAGCAAACCAGCCTTGTCATCCCCAAAAAGCGCACAGCTATGCTTCTCGATCAGATTAACTGCCTCTTTAGATTTCAGTTTAGCACATCTTTGCAATGTCTCAGCATCAAAACCCATAACATAGCACCTCAAATTTCCACGTTTCTGATCCTGCTTCCTCGACTTTTGGCCAGAAGAAACAGATTGATGACCGAAGACAAGATTTGATATTCTGTAAGGTGATGACTCTGGAAGTTGAAGGGAGGTTCTACGACTAAGGTGAACATCATGATGGGGGACGGCTAGACACAGTTCCAGATAATGTCTCAAGGAGGCAGACTTCAAGAAGTAACCATATAAGATTGAGGCTACATACAATCGACCAAGCTGGAGTCGCTGGATCTCGGTTGTTGCCCAGGTGTCTGTAACACTAGAATTTGCTCTTAAGCCAATTACTGTAGATACATGTTCCCTTATCATCTCTAAAACCTCAAAGCTATGAATGGATTCTAGCTCCCAGTCCTTTGAAGGTCCTATCTCTAGTCTGCCATTATAAATGCACCTAGAGAGCTTTGGAACCAAAGGAACTCTGATCTCAGAGAATTTGGAAAATATTAACATGTACATTACATCTTCAACAGCAATTTGGCACTCCTGTTCTTTCAGTTGAGCAATTCTCCTGGCATTCAGAAATATCATTTAATAAAGATAAAAGTATTGAAGACAGTACATCCACAATAAAAGTTTTAACCTACCAAAGAAGTCTCACTGTACCATGTTCAAGGTAGCAAAAGTTCTGCACAGGTAGCAGTAGCACCCACTACATGGTCGGTAAAGTTATTGTTATGATATCCTAGTTGCCTGGTGTAAGATGCTGTCAGTGTTAGCATTACCTTGGTGTTCAACTGCGGCCACTAAGCAAACATAAACCTTTTCTTTTGTTTCTAAAATAAAAATTAAAAAATGTTTTATGCAATTTGCATTAAGTGTACCGAAGTAAAACCACCTCCATCAAATGAAAGAATTGTGAAAATCACGGTTCAAATTCTCAAAGTGTGAAATCAAATTTAAAATGTCAAAACTGAATCAGCATTGGCCACCCATTCAACAAGAAATGTCAACTCTACAAGTAAATGCAGCACAGCTCTAACATTAGAAAGAAGATTATTGTAACATATACTTGAGATCAAACATCAGAATCGAGGAAATAAGGTATCAACACCGGCATCATTGCTAATTCTATATCTCTGAGACCATTAAGTTTCCAAGGCTTAAATCATTAAAGAAGTTAAGATTATCAATGAAGTATTTAAACAATGTGCTTCAACATGTTACATGACCATTCTTTGGCAAAACTCACACATTTGCAAATGTTTTGCAAAAGAACTAATTTGTTTCCTAGTATTCATTCATGAGATCGATCTCATTCTCATTCAATCATATAGCTAGCCATAATCTGCAACTAAACCATGGGTTCTCCCAAATCAAACAGCTTTCCTATGTGAGGCAAACTTAAACTTTGCAACCCAGTCTCAACTTTATGAATTGTGAGAGAAAATCCACAGATTGACAGCAACTTTGACATGTTAATGTCACATGAAGAGACAGGAAAAATTCAAAATATAAAAAAGCACAAGTGGATTAATGCAAATCCCCAAGCTCAACAGTTCAAGCTTGGGTCAGATAGCTTACTAAGAGTAACATGAGGTACAAAGGCTTGGGCTATTTTGAAGCTGATAGGTAAGGAATATAGACCTAGACAGACATGCATTGGACATGGGATTGTGCCAATATATGGGGATTCAGGTGGAAAAAGTGCACCCAAGATGCAAACGATGAACCTGTTTTTCAAATTTATTTTTAGCTTTATGCACACTACAACACATCCAATTATTTTCTCAACAATTTAAAATACTTAACAGGTCGTCAAGAATTAATGATCGCACCTTGTTTTTATCATTGCTAATATAATTTGACATACTTTGCAGTCAAAATAGAATTATAATAGAACGTGATATTAGTTTTGCAACTCAAGTTGGCTCAAAATTGAGCTAGAACTTGAACCACAACAATTTTCACTTAAAGTACTTAGAGATAGACTATATAGAAGCACATATACAAATGTCAATGTATCAAGTTCTTGAGCCCACAAACTAAAGCTTGAAATTCATCAAATGATTTGTTTACAAAATAAAACAAGCCAAGATGAACCTATACTTGAACACAGCGAAATACTTCAATAAAGGCTTCAACTCAATAAGCTTATATCCATAGAAGTAAGAGATAAGGACATTGATAAATTAAATAGAACAGTTGAACGTGCAAAGGTCACATTACATAAGAATCAAATTTTCACCGGCTAAATCTCTAGATCACCTCTAATAGGAAGTTAAATGAGGATTAATAGATTCCAGGTGTGCCTACACCAACAAAAATAGATTGGATATATAGATTACTCATATATCATCACTTTGAATGTTTACTTCACAAACATGAACTGCCTTATTCAAGGAACATTAGAATGCCCATTGAGAAACAAATTTATGACTATGGTTTCTTGTATCTCTAGAAGTTGAACCTATTTCCACAACATAGGACATTCCCAAGCTAGATTGCTCAGGAAGTCAATTGTAATATTTTGTTGTCTCCTAAAATTGAGATGAAACCCATCATCTGATGGGTCGATTTAGTAGACCATGTGTATCAATGACATACTTGATGTAACATATTCTGTCATCCATATGTATTTCAATTCAAATTTCTATCTGAGAGATTTGATCGAAATTAAGTATAACCATTGTCAAAAACAATTTGACTTTCTGACACATGATCTACCAAATAAGACTCATCAAATAGTTGATCCAATCTTATCAATCTATTAAACAACATCAAAATACCACCTAGTAACAAGAATAACTGGAAAAGTCCATCCTAAACCCAGTTTCTTCTCAAATATAGACATTTTTGTTATCTACATTTATACAAGTTAAAACCAAGTACTTAAATTTTTATCACTTCCAGAGGGAGTTAATTAAGGTACTTGGTGTATACAAGTTAGACTCCAATTCCAGAATTTAAATTTAGTTCCATCTTCCATAAACAGACTCCATTGCAGAATTTAAAGTTAGTTCCACCTTTCATAAGGAGGGTTAAACTTTTTCCTCATTAATCCCTTGGGAAGGATTGTACTTCCTGATGCTTAAATCGACTGTCCTAACATAAAATCATTCAAGCAATAAATCCATAGAATTCTTTTCTTTCTCATTCTAATCCCCAAAAAAAGGAGCAGAACGGCTTAAGCCTACAATAAGTAACCAAATTGTCACCGTCTCCAACCACTTGAACTTCTCCAGGCTGCCAATTATTTGTACTTTATCCATCTCAAGAAAGAAATGACTTCAACATAACGCAAATTTCCTTAATAGGTACAGGTTAAAATATTGGAGAAGAAACCAAAAGAAACATCAAACAGGGTTATATATCAAGTAAACGTGAGCAAAACACATACACAAAAGAAACTAAAACTTACAGTACATAACAAACAAATAAATAATATTTATATGGGACTAACCTGTGAAGGGAGGCTTCATCGGAGCCAGAGCTAAGCAACATACGAGAAACAGCACCGTCCCTATCATCAGCCAATAGCTTTAGTTCTTCGGCAACCGCAACATGAAACAGCTGTCTCTGATTCTGAAACACACTACTCAAAAACTTCCCAGCCGCCGAGCGCGGTTCCAGCGGCGTGTTCAAGCTAAAGCTATTGCTGCTGCTAGGCTCGCAGTGGCTAGACCCTGCTCTAGCGACAACGACCACCGCCGGTCGCACTTTCCAGTTAAGACAAGTACTCGTACTAATTAGCCTCCGATCGGCGAACTTGACCGTCAATCTGGGAGAGAAAATTGACGGTAATTCGCGAGAATTTACCGTGGATGGTAAAAAATGGGGAGAAAAAATCTTGTGTGTTGAGAGGCAATAGTCCATCAACAGAGATTAATATCCCTAATAATGTGTAATGAGGATTGGCTATGGAGCTTTTGAGTTTAGATTAGGGGAGGAAAAACGAAGGGTCCATTCTTATATGACGACATAAGATATGGATAAGGATTTAAACACAAAAGAAAGAGAGAGAAAGGGTAAGACTGACATTTCAATATACAAAAATAATATAAATTTATATATTGCTGTAAAATATTAATAAAAATTTTTTATATTAGTTGAAGTTCCATAAACTAAAATGATATTCATTTTTATTTACAAACTCGTCTTTAGTGAATTGAAATTGTATTTAAATAATATTTGGCTCTAAATTTTGGAATATTAATATATAATAAAATTATTTTATGTTCTTTAAAAAAATTAAATAACATTACAAAATAACATTATTTTAAGCAATTATTTTTATGGAATTTGCTTAAAATTATAGAAAACTAAATTAATTAAAAACAAAAAGAATCTATTTGGTTTACAATTCTTATTGGTTGGAAGTGAAAGATGGCAGACGGTGTGTGGCGGGTGTAGACTAGATTCCAATAGAAGAGGCAATAAGAGGGGTAGTTTGGACCACATAGAGTGGATAATCATTTAAAGATGATAGGCAAATAGAAATTTGGCAAGTGCAGCCAGTGGACAAGTTGGAAACTACAAATAAATTGAGAAATAATATAATTTTTTAGTATTGTTTAGTCGAGATAATTCATCCATTGATCCTTATAATTTGTTCAAATTTATTATTTAGTTCCTTTATTTTTTAGGTGGCAGAAAAAGTTTTAAAAATTTTGATTCCGTTAAAAAAAAAATTTAACAAATATATGAACCCCATATTAGTTTATAAAGAATCTTTAATTTCTATAATTTATATAAAATTTTAAAAAATTACAATATAATCTTTATAATTTATAAAATATGTTAAAATATTTTTAAAAATATATTAAATTTTTTAATATTTTATTTCAATTATATTACTGGATCATTTTGTACATTTTTTTTCTCTTGGATAGAAAGTTAAGTAAAAGGTTTACCCTTGGGCGGCGCGAACATTGATAGTGATAACTGCTAAGCTATCATTGTCTAGAGAGTGCAGAATAAAGGACAACCAAACTTTCGAGAACATATTAAATCGTTCGAATATTTAATGCCAGGAATTTATGACTCCAAAATTAGGGAGAATCATTATTTGATCCTATAAATATGAAATTGGTAACCTTGTTATTGTTTATAACTTTATATATTAAAAAAATATATGATTGAGTTGATAATTTTATTTTCTCAACATATTAGGTATTAGGTATTGGTACTTACTATTTTAATAAAGAAATACAATAGAAATAGGATAAAGGGTATTTTGATCTTTTGTTAAAAATTAATGGAGAAATATATAAATTATAAATTAGTTTGATACAATGTATGTCTTATCTATAGTCTATGATCCATAATATATATAAAATGAAAAATGAAGAAGGAAAAGTTGATCTCCTTCTACCACAGATTTTGGGATGTTGTGGGTCAGGATGTTGTCAAAAGTTGCCGAGACTGGTTCAATACAGGCGTTTTTCCGAACAATCTGAATGATACCTTAATTGTGTTGATTCTGAAAGTAGAGGACCCAGAGGCAGTGAAGGATTTTCGACCTATTTCACTTTGTAATGTAGTTTACAAAGTGTTTGCTAAAGTTCTGGCGAACAGGCTGAAGACTATTCTGCCTAATCTTATTTCATTATCTCAGTCGGCTTTTGTCCCGGGTCGGTTGCTCTCAGATAATGTGTTAGTTGCTTTCGAGTTAATCCACTCTATGTGAAAGGTCGACAAGGCGCTTCTGCATTGAAGGTTGATATCTCCAAAGCCTATGACAGAGTTAATTGGTGTTATCTACGAGCTGTTATGCATGGCTTGGGTTTTAGCCAACGTTGGATTGACTTGATCATGCTATGTGTTTCCTCAGTTAAATACTGGGTGGGAGTGAATGGGGATGAAGTTGGCCCAATTATTCCAGAACGGGGATTGAGACAAGGTTGCCCATTATCGCCCTATTTATTTATTCTCTGTGCCGAAGGACTGTCAAAGCTGTTTAGTCAATCTGAATGCGAAGGTCGCCTCAAAGGCTGTAGAGTCTCGAGAGCTGCTCCTCGGTTATCTCACTTGTTATTTGCGGATGATAGTTTGTTCTTTTTTGAAGCATCACGGACTCAAGCTCTGGAGATTAAAAATATTCTAGTTACTTATGAAGCAGCTTCAGGTCAAGCGGTTAATTGGCAAAAATCTGGTATTTTTTTCAGCTCTAACACTTCTGAGATGGATAAGACTGTTGTTCAAGGGGTTTTTGGTGTGATTGCTCCTTTAAACCACGGAAGGTATCTCGGTTTGCCATCGTTAATTGGTAGGGATAGGAGACGTATTTTTTCTTTCTTGAAGGATCGAGTGAGGAAGTTGGTCAGTGGTTGGAATCAGAAACTCCTATCCAAAGGGGGTAAAGAGGTACTAATAAAGGCTGTAGCACAAGCTATTCCCTCATTCTGTATGAGTTAATAAATGCAAATAAAGCACAAGCTATAGTTCTCATTCTGTACTGATTCTTTCCTTATTCCAGTATCTAATCTATTTTAACGGAGCTTCAGCGCTCATGAATTCCTTTGGTGGGGAGGAAAGATGAGAATGGTCTGAGTTGGGAAAGGATGTGTGTAGCAAAGGAAGAAGGAGGTTTGGGTTTTTCGACATTTGCGAGTCAATTGGCTTGTTTAGGAAAGCATGCTGGAGACTTTTACATAATCAAACCTCTCTTTTATAGCTCTTACTTCCAAATATTCCCCTAGTGGATTTTCTTGGTGCACCAACGTAATTCCAAGCTTTGTATGGAGAGAGATTGTAAGAATGCTATATTTCAGCCGTTTTCGCGTGGAGAATGGATGGTCAACTCGATTAATATCTGGACCGAAACCGTGGCTATTGCGAGATAATCAGTTCCAAGATAATAAACATCCCTTCCCGGTCCACCCCGTCCGTAAACCCGAATGAACCGAACCGAGACGCTACAAACTGGTTGACTGTATGGCCTGACATGCTGAAATCATAATGTATATTGCATATAATATCATGCTAAAGTTGTTTTTCATAACTAATGTGCTTAATATTTACAAGACATGGTACTAGTTTACAAAATGAAATGGGCCCAACTGTGTGCCCTATACATGCCATGAAAAGGAGAGACAAAAGGTACACATCCAAATGGGTAGCTATGGCTAATTAAACATATAAGCACATATAGCATGATCCCTTCATTATACCTTGATTATCTTTCGTACTATTTGTAATACTGTATGATTCATGAAATGTTATGTCAAGATATCTGTATGGCTCCATAAGGTTATAGTGAAACCGAGGTGATAAGAAAAACTGTATACTGGATTGAAATACTGTAACCCCTTGGGCTGCTATGGCCCATACTCATAATCAATATCCATCAACGCCTGTAGCCGGAGTATCAAACTGTATGGGTTCAGATTGCTATCCTATGTCGGACATAGCCTTATTCTGCATGGTTTCTAGCTAACCTCAATGGAGCAAAAAGGTATGTCCATAGTATAATTACACAACATCATATTAAATAGTTCAACTCATAAATCATCATGTTTATTTGATTCATATCATTTGCATGCTGAAATGTTGTTTTAATACAGTTCTCAATAGAAAATATGGAGGCAATATAAGTGAAGCAAAGGAATATCAAGTGCATTGAAAATAAGTCCAAAAGTGCAATGAATAACACAAGAAGAGCGCGCCTTGAAAAAAAAGCGCATAGATGCAAAATGAGAGACAGTGAGTTATCGGGCACAAGTCCGCGAGCGCTAGCACTTGAAAGTCGCGCAGCTAGCGAGAGTGGCAAAAAAAAACATGAAGAGACAGTGAGTTTTCCAGGCCAAATTCGCGAGCGCGCGATGACAGTCGCCCGAGCGCCTTACAGGCCAAGGGCCAAGTGCCCGAGACGCGCACTTCTAGCACAAAGGCGCGAGAAAGCGAGAATGCCCAAATGAGAGCAGAGAGTTTTCTAAGGTGAAAGTCGCGAGCGGCCGCAGCCTTCAATTCGCCAGAGCCGCGAGAACATGAAAAAATTGTCAAAAGCGCATGCGTTTTCCAGCACTGCAGCTGTCTGTACTCTTCTTGGTCATATCTCTCAATATAACTCCGATTGGCATGATTTCAAAAAACACCATGTGAACGCTAACACAATAGAGGAACAAATAACTCTTCTATTGAACACTGTCCTAATTTCCATATATAATGAAAAATAGTTTATGGTAAAATTCCAGCAAACCTTTCAAAACATAAGACTTGAATATTGTACTTCATTTATTCAACAAAAATCCCCTGTTTCTCACCACCTACCAGTCCTCCACTCAACATGAACGCCATATTGTCTCACAAAAAAAATCTCATGCAAAGTAAATGGGAAAATGACAAGAGATATCAAACCTTTACTCCAAAAAGCTGATGCGTCTTCTTTAGCTTCTTTTTTTACACCCTCAACCTCCCCTTCTCCTATACCACATCAGACACTTCTCTATAACCTTATCTATCAATATAGATCAAATAAGGCTTGAATAACTATAAAGCTTCAAGAAATTCTACTTACTTGGGAAAATATGAGGTTGCCTTAATGCTTTAACTACCAGGAAAATGGATTGGAGAAGGAAGGAGATAAAGAATGAAGAAGAATAAGAAGACGTTGAAGTATGAAGAATGAAAAATGAAGAAAGCAAATTGAAATGGAAGTCTCGTATACTTCCCAACTGTCTCTTTAATTGTATGGTACAAGTACCAAATAAGACCTACAGTTTCGACATGTTACATTTTAATACCTCAACTTTATTTTTATTTTTTTTGCAAATAAGTCCTACTCTTTATACCTTGATCTTTTTGTCTCACTCAAGTAAGTCCACTTAAAAACCCTTTTCTACCCCAACCGGGTTTGTGGACCGAACCGTGGCTATTGCGGGATAATCAGTTTCGGGTTCACTTGCCTATTCTTCCTGGTTTTGAGCATATACGGGTTTCTGATCTTATTTTGGCACATGGGGCACGAGCTTGGAATTTGCCACTGATACAAGGTTTTTTCAATCCTTCAATTGTTGAAATTATTACTTCTATTCCTTTAGCTACAAATGTTCAGGACGACATCCTTATATGGCATTGGACAGACTCTGGGATATACTCTGTAAAATCTGGATACAGATTAGTAGCATCTCAATATGTGGATCCTGAAGATGTTTGGCGGTCGAGTTTTTAGAAAATTCTTTGGTCACTGAAAATTCCGCCGAAAGTGAAGCATTTTCTCTGGAGGTGTTGTCGAGACATTCTGCCAGTTAAAGCAACTTTGGCAAGAAGGGGACTGGAGCTTAATACAGGATGCGATTACTATGGTAATACTGAAACGTTAGTTCATACTCTTGTTGAGTGTCCACGAGTGAGCATTTGTTGGCAATTTTTTGGTATTCAGCTTACTACTGGGACTTTTCCAACTTTCTTACAACTATTGGAACATTTACACAAGGCGTGGGAGAACGAATTTTTTGAAAGCTTTGTTATGGGACTATGGAGTGTTTGGTTAAGCCGTAATCAGCTGAAATGGAATTAAGTGGAAGAAGGACCTTATCACGTGGTTAGTCGAGCCAGAAGTATGCTCGCATCTTGGAAGAAAGCCCAGCTGAAGTCGCCAGGTTCAAGTACAGGTACCGATGCTCCTACAGGCAGTCAATGGCTTCCACCACCTGTCGGTTCTTTTAAACTAAATTTCGATGCCACTCTTCTCCCCTCTGTTGGCCATGGAGCCGTTGGTGCTGTAATCTCAAATTGCAACAGCGGGTTTGTATCAGCAGCAACGTCTTCATTACAAGGTTGTTCTTCTCCAGCAGTAGCAGAAGCACAGGCGCTCAGAACAGTGTTATCTTGGTTGTTATCGAGCTACTCCAGCCTGAAGATTCAGATTGAGACCGATTGTCTGCAAGTTTACTGTGCTATGAGGAATTCTGTCCAAGATTGGTCTGAGTTTGAAGTAGTTATTTCTGAATGTAAGCTACTCTTAGTCCAATTGCCAAATGTTACCTTGGCTTGGATTAGAAGACAAGCAAATGATATAGCTCATGTATTGGCTAAATCAGTTCCTCATGGAGCTTGTTTTCGAACTTGGGATATTGTTGGTGGTGGTAAGACAAGCAAATGATATAGCTCATGTATTAGCTAAATCAGTTCCTCATGGGGCTTGTTTTCGAACTTGGGATATTGTTCCCACTTGTATTGCTCGTTTTTTATCTTAATAATAAATGACCAATATTAAATGTCAAAAAAAAAAAAAAAGTTGATCTCCAATTCCATTTCTTTAGCCAGACTGAGGTTGATACTCTTTCGCGCTTGGAGGCATTAAACATAAAGATTGACAAAAATATCTGGCCAAATGTATAATTTTCTCTTCTTACCGAACTATTCTTAAATTGTTATTTGTGCCTCTCAATTTTGCGGGAGACTACTTGTGCCCCTTAAGTTGTGGTTTTAATAGCTTTTGTACCCCTGAACAAATTGAAGATTTTGCATGAAATATGATTTGTCATCAATGTATCTGCCACGTTGGTTTTCACATGTGCAAGAAATAACAAGAAAGAGAAAAAGATAATAGGTTGGTAGTTTCGATTGAAAAAAAAATTGAAAATAAAAATAAAAATAAAAATTGAATGCCCAAAATTAGATCAAGAGACTATCAATAACCAAAATCAAATCAAGAAAAAAATAAAAATTGAAAAAAAAAAATCATACGAGCTTGTGTTAGTAGTTTTGATTTCATTAACCATAAATTCATTAGAAAATGTGGTTTGATTTTGATTATAGAGAAGAAGAAGATAGATCTGTTAAGAGAATGAGAATGAGAAAAATACAGAGAGAAACTGAGAGAAGAAAGAGAAGAAAAAGAAGAAAAAGAGCGAGATAGAGAGAGAATAAGAGAGAATGAGAGTTGAAGTTAGAATGATTTTAAGAATGTAAAACGATATCGTTTTTGCCACGCTGGACAAAATTTAAAGGGTTTACGTTCTTATCTGCATTTGAGTTCACACAGTTCTTTTACAGCGTGTCAGGGGTGCAAAAGCTACAAAAAAATGCAATTTAAGGGACACAAGCGGTCCCCTGCAAAATTGAAAGGTACAAATAGTAATTTGAGGAAAGTTCAGGAGGAAAAGTATGCATTCGGCCAAAAATATCTCTAAGATTTTAATTGCATTCGTTGAAATTATAAAAATATTTTCATTTGATTGGTTATACTAGTTTCAATATATTTCTTTTTAAGAATTAAACAATTTAAGAGAGTTAAACCTCGTAGATTTATCAATATATTTACCAAGTAATAAGATAAATGAAGTTATAATTATGATTAAAATACAGGGATTAAGAAGTAATTTACCCAATAAAGATATGTTCAAAGCAACTTATGACCCATGTATTGGCCATACATTGCCCATACCAAATAAGCCGAGACGGAAAAGCACACAACACAAATACAGCCCTTCGGCCTTCAACCGAAAGCCAGTAGCTATCAAAAAATGACCATCACTGTCTATTTTTTGACCCATTTTCCAAATTAGAATCTGCCCTTCCTTTTTTTTAATTTTAGTTAATCAAATATTTTGAGAAATGATGAGAACTTTCCCGTGAGAAATGATTAAAGTTGATAGTGCCTGGCTCCATTATAATTTAATTGATGAGACCATAGACTTTTTATGTCTTTGTATTCTCTAATAAGACAAAATAACTTTTTTTATTATAGACTCCAAAGTATTAAAAAACAAACAAAATTTTGTGTTGCGGAATTAAAATAATTAAGCTTCAAATGAATTTATTTGATCATCCTTTGGGTAAAACTACTTTGGTAAATTAGTCCATTGAATTATAAAAATGGACAACTTAACAAATGTTAGAAATTAAGTTTCTATATCAACAAAATGTCAAAAATTATATATATAAAGATTAAGAGAATGTCGATATTGATAAAAATAAATAAATTAGTAATCTCCAAACTATCTTTATACAATTTTTGTGATTCAATAAAGATGACGACAACAACCGGTGATCGATGACAGTAACGGCGATAATAACAATGGGATCAGCGATCGATAACGATGACGGCGAAGACAACGATCATGATAAAAAAAAAAGGATGAATGAATAACGAAAATGACATTATTTTAATATTTAAGGTCAAAATGATATTTAAAAAAAATTTAAAATACGACATTTATTACAATATTCCCTATAAAAAATTAGTATTTATATGAATTTTATAAAATTGGGCTTAATACAAGGAGAAAAAGAAAAATCCACAGGAAGAGCATATAATGTAATACATGTGAAAGTTGTTAGACTTCAATTTTAATTTCTAAGAGCTCTAATCCAACTTTGGCAACATTTTTCACTAATTTACTTACGGTATTTATTGAACGAAGAAAAGGGAAGTTTCTTATTAGTTTTGCCCCAGAAGTTTCTTATTTCATCGTGATTAATTAGTTCGTGATCAATTAGGAAGTTTTGTTTTATGTCCGATCTTTAGAAAATGAGTATTATACTGTAATATTTGTATATTAATTCGAAATGATTACTGAGATCCTAATATTTTATATTAACAAATTTAAATTCTTACAAATTATAGAAATGACCACAATTCAGTTTTAAATTAGAATTAAATTAAAACCAGATGATAAAAATCAACATCAAACCATGGTCAACAGTTATTTATTTCAAACTGTAATTGAAATCACATATTTACGGTTGGTTCCTGCTCTTCATTTTTTTTAAAACCATAATAAGCGGTTTTGGTTTTTGGTTTATAACTGATAATTTCAGTTTCAAATAATAAAAAAAATATTTTAAGATTTTTTATTAAACTGATTTAATCTTTTCTAATAGTACTATTTATTTATCATTATTTCTGTTACTTATTTAAGCTACAAATTTTAAAAAGTTTGAAAATGATTATTTAACTGGATTCTAGATCGGTGATTTTAAAATGATTAATTAACTGCAGGCTATGTATGTGGCAAGAGCTTTCGGATCCAATCCCTACTAAACACATTTAGAAAGGGATGAAAAGTCTAAACCGTGATTAAGCTTCGAACCAGATTAAGCGATCTTTGATAATAATTCCGGATGCCGAAAAAAAAAAAAAAAAAAAAAAAATGCCGAAAAAAAAAAAAAAAAAAAAAACACGTTGCTAAAAAAAAAAAAAAAAAAAAAAAAACACGTTGCTACGATTCAACTCATAAAACAGTTAAACTAACCGCTCCCTTCCATTTCTGGGGTTGTTCCGAGGCTTTTTGGATTTGAGTTTGTTAAATATTCTCCTCTTACTCTTAAATGACATCTTTACTTTTTATTCTGGCTTTGAAAGCCATGTGGGAAGCTTTTTCTCTTGAAAGCCATTTGTACAGTCCAACAATAACTGGGTGCCAAACACGTCCGTTTCTTTTGTGTTGACACGGCAGAATCTAGGAACACGAATATATACTCCAGACAACAAAAGCTTTAAGCATTAAGCTTCTCGCATGGAGGACCACTTAGGTGCTCAAAAATAAAAATAAAAAAATAAAAAACAGTCGTTGGAACTTCGATTCATAAAGAAAATAATACTACTAAATTACTAACAACTTGCAATTATAAGAATCTCCAACAACATTATAGCCGTTACAATCAAATGGAACTTTTTCAATGAAAAAGTTTAAATAAGTCTAACAAAATAAACACCTCACACCTGGGAGAGAAGTGATTTAGGCACCCATTTTTTTTCTCCTCTTTGGGAAAAAGGGCAATGCCTAAAAGAATTAATTACTACCTTATTTAAATAATTCGCAAGCATCTAAAAATACAATGCAATGTAAAAACTAAAAAGGGGCTCCCCAATCACTTCACTTCCTACTTCATCTCTGTGTTCTTCACATGGTTAATGCCGCCTTAAAGACTCACACTTGGGAACTTACAGTGTCCAAAACCTGTTCAGAAAATAACAGAAAGCATAATTAGTAGTGGAAGGCATTGCCCATTGTTTCAGGATTCATTATTCTATATAAATTAAAAGTTAAATTCATTTCCGTTAAACTAATGTTAGTAGTAAAATGGATATTTTCAAGCCTTTTTCGGAGTAAAAACTAATATCGATGCGGAGTTCATGATTTGTTTGGAATGTAAACCTAATGTAATTTCGCAATTCATAACTTTACAGAAATAACTCACATGTTGCATTCAACTTAATGCTTAACGTTTAACTGTTAATCATTATTAATTGGCAGCTAGCTATTAATTACTTACTTGGATCCTTGGTAGTCTGAGTTGCGAGGCCGTTGAAATAGCAAGTGGCGCCCGCCTGCCTCATCTGAGCCCAAAACGAACTAAACGCGTAGCTAGCGTGCCAAACCACAGAATCCGGTTTAAAACACTTCTTACCCGGTTGGATTGGGTCACAAGTTTTATTCCCCTGCGAGCAAGCATATCCTAACGCATCGCCCAAGGCAGTCCTGTTTGCTCCTTTAGCCACCACGCACCATATCTTCCCTGTATACGGCGCATTATTTATTGGTGCCGGTAACGGCTTTGTATACTCGGATTCAGTCTTCTCGCCGCTTAGATCGATATCGTACACTTTCGACCCATTTGGGTATAGCAACCCAAAATGCCGCTCCGTGCCTGGACCCGGTTTTTGATTCTCATTGTACATTGCGAAGATGAAAGAAGGTATTACTGATCCTGGTCGGGCTGGAGTGCCAATGGCGGGTTTGGCGGTAAGCCTCTTTACCACGTTCCGGTTGTAAGTGGCAGCATTGTAAATATTGGCTCCGATTTGATCGATATCTCCATTATTAGGCCAACCCGTTTCGGCGATAAAAATCCTGATATCCGGGTACCCGAGTCGTTTCATGGCAAAGATTACAGCATCAATCATTTGGTCAAAGAGGTTGGTGTAGGTCAATTTGGTGACTGGGTCAGTCACTGTTATATTTGTGGCCTTGAAAAGAGCATAATCGAGATTGATATCTACCGGATTATCGGCCCAAGCGAAATAAGGGTAGACATCAAGGAAGAAGAACGATTTGGTCCGGTTCAAAAACTGCAACATCGGCCTCATGATCGGATCCGCAATATCAGACCGAAACGTCCCGTTTGAGGGTGGAAATGAAGATTCTAAGACATTCAATGCCGATGGAGTACCAACTTTAACCTTATGGATTTTATAGGCTCTCAAAGAACACTTGATTCGACGCATGGCCGGTACAAGATTGAACCATGTTCCGACATCCGGGTTAGTAAGAATTTCGTTACCAACAAGGAGATATCGGATTTTCACATCAGGTAAAAATCGGACGACATTGTTTTTGACCCAATGATCTGAGAAATGTTGGCTTTTGGAGACATTGGGAATGAGTTCGTTAGGTAACATGATTGAGACTTGGATATCGGTATTTTTAAGGGCAGTAAGGATTTCCTGGTCAGCACTGTAGATTTTGACGCGTTTGGCTTTTAGAGATTTGATGAGCTCCACCGTATGCGGCGGCGGCGGCAGGTTGTTTCCCAGTGTACCCCAGTTTATTCCTATCTTGTTCGAGATCTCTGAGCCTGCAAGTAACAAAACGAAATATCAAACACCCAAAAAAAAAAAAAAAAAAAAAACGAAATATACAAACACCCAAAAAAAAAAAAAAAAAAAAAAAAAAAACAAAACAAAACAAAACTTCATTTGTCATTAAAAGAAAAAGAACTCACTGCAAGTGGAAAATAGGAGTGCAAAAACGAAGAGAGGAAAAAAACCCATCCCCATTGTTGCTCTCTGCATTTAGCTTGTTTGAGTGTAATACTTGTGTCAGCTTAAGAAACGAACTGAGTGACTGGTAATTAGGTGAGTTTGGTTTGGAAGGTGAGAGAATTGATGTGTTATAAAATGGGAAGATTGGTTTTTTTTCCTTTAGGAAATCAAATAATTTAAGGGTTCTTTGTGCTTTTAGCTTTTTGAAAAGATAAAAGAAAGAAGAAAAGGATAGATTGATACGCAGATAGAATAAAAGCAGAGAGGAGATGAAGCGATATATAAACAAAAGTCGAAAACTTTTGCTTGGTTTCCAGGAAGGGGAGGGGAGAGGAGGAGAGCGTGAAAAGCGAGACGTGGTGCTTGAGATAAAGGTCTTTGTCAACAATGCCAAAGTAGCCGTTTGATTAGTGTGGGCCCGTAGCTGGTCTGGCTCGCCGTACTGTTCTTTTAGTGTATGCTTCCAGCTGAAGAAATTTATTACTTCTTCTGTCCAAATTTTTAGTCCGTAGTTTTACAAAATTATTTAGCTCCAAAGATATTATGAAATTTTTATTATATATTTTTACAAAATTTAGAGTGTTAATTAATTTTCTTAATTCATGTGCCATGATTAAAAAAACAGATATTTAGGGAGTAAAAAAATATTCATTTCGTCTCATTTTGGTTGTGTGGTTTGATAAAATACACATATTAAAAATTTAGTCAACAAAAATTATTTAGTCATTTTTTTATCTCTAATTCATTAAGATATTAATAAAAGTTCTTCATTTAATAAATAATCATAAATATTATAATGAGAAAAATAATTATTTATATATATTTATATATACAATTTAAAAATCTTGCAAACATTTTGGTTTAAATTCCAAATAAAAAGAATAACAAGCAAACAAAAATGGGACAAAGAGAATTTTTAATATTAGTGAAAACAAATAAATAAAATTATTGTTATTCTGTTCCATAATTAACTTATCACATTGAGGAAAAATAGTTTGTTTCAAATATACTTGTGTACATTTCATGGTTTTAGAATAATAAATCTTTTTTTTTTTTATATGGTTTAACCTTTGTATATGACCAATTTTATCACTTACATTTTAATTATTTTTTTAGTGAAATTTAATATAAATTAAGGAATAATATAATCAATTTATCAATAATTTATTATAACTTAGATTAAAATTTAATGGTTTTTTTAAGGGAATCTAAAATTGAAATATGGCAGTATTATTAGAACAACAGAAACATATATTACTTCTAATCAGGATTAATATTTTGGAGCAACAAAAACAATACTCCTACCATTCCAATTTAATTAGCGGGACAAATAAACAGTACTTTTTTCATTTAAGTGCTCATTTAGAATTTTGAGAGTGCATTGAATTTTTTTTTTTCAATTTTATTCCCATATTTTTTATGTATTTGTAATAAAAATTTATAATAAGAAAATTTTTAATTTTAAGGAAAATGGCCAATATTAGTCATTCCTTACTAATATTTTTATAGAAAATCAATTATAATCAAATTCATTTCTTAATCTTTTCAAAAACAACCAAATGTTGCAATTAAAGTTGAAACCGGATTGGAAGTAAAAATTAATTGAGTTAATACTTTGACTCTAATTAAAAATCTAATTTGGTTTAATAGTTGCCCAAAGAAAGCCATTATTGATTTGTTTGTTTCCATTAGGAGGAGGTTGGGTTTTTAAATCATTACTTCATGATTTTTAGTTCACATTAAACGATTATTAATTCAAGTTCTTATTGATGTAATGGCCTTGTGATAGATCAACAAATCTCATATTCCCTACTCGAATCAACAATGATTAAGCTTTTCTTTTCTTTTTTTCAGAAACCTGTTTTGGTACTTTAAAATTTGTAATTTTAATTTATTGATTAATTCTATTTAATGTGAATTTACTAAGTTTTAAATAGTTTAATAATTTTTGGATTCTTTATTTATTTTAGTCTTAAGTTTAAATAAAGTTTTGATAATTAATATGTAGTTCCTTTTTTTAGAAAAAATTTATTTTTTTGCCCCAAATATCATTTAAATTGTAGTTTGATTGTTTTTCAAATTATATGAAAATGGAAGAATTTTTTTTCTTAATCCTCTAAACATAAAGGGAATTATAAGTAAAATGATTTTAGATTAATATTGAATGTGATACTTCAGGTTAAGTAATAGCCCAAACAAAGAAAAGGAAAAAATAAAAAAAAAAAAAAGCTTAAAATGTTCAATTTTTTTATGTGCGTATATTTAGTTTTACATTTACTATTCCCTTTAAAAAAACAAAAAACAAAATTTTCAAATTTTTCAAACATTTTACACAATATTAGGAAATAAATTTCGCTAGTAGTCGTTATTAATGCATTGAATCAAACTTGCTTACAAAATATTTAGTTATTGACTAATATTTTATAAGGCTAATATTGCTTTTTTTAAAAAAATATATATAATTAACTTTGATATTATAATTATGAATCTGAATTTATAATTTCACAATTTTTAAAAAATAATTTAACGAGTGTTATTTAGTCAAGTTCATTCAATTAACCCAAACGTTAAAACGACAGTACTCTATTGTTTAACATAACAAGTCAAATGAAGATTAATTTGATAAACTGACCTTTAATAGCACAATTAATGGATCTTTAACATTTTGTCGTCTATAAAAACATTGTCTAGAAGTCAATTAATTATTGCTCCCTCCATCCATATAATCTCATTTTCCTTATTTTTTTTTTTCGTGAAATATAGTTTCCATTTCCCTATTTAAAATATCAATTAGTATTTAAAAATTTTATATACCCTTTATTTATGTATATCATACTGCCCAATTATATATATCATTTAATTTATTAGCGGGATATTTTAAGAAAAACAAAGGTTTAATAAACAAATTAAGTTTAGCTATGTTATTTTTTTTGTCAAAAAAATATATTAATATCATTTTTCTTTAAATTGTTGTAAAAATCAACTAACATAATTCATAGGAACGAGATGTAGTAATTAATAAATAAATTTTAAAGTAAATTTCATGTCAATTAAGTGTAGTTTGGGTTGATTTACATCTTGTAGAGACATGAGACTCAGAGTTCGAATCCTTTATACTATAAAAAATTTATAATAATTTGGTGGAATATTATCGAAAAAGAGACTGCATTATTATCTCGGTATTATTAGAACATTTTAAAATATTAAAAGGAAAAAAATGTCTATATTGGGTGTGGTTTTCTCATTTTATTGTGAAAAGCTAGAAGGTATAGAGTTTGAATTCTCTCCACCACAAGTGTTTTTACCAATTTATGAGTCTAGAGAGGAGCACCACTCATTTTGCTAGTGTTTACCATAGCGTCACAGTTTTTTGGCTCGTTATAGACTTCTTAATAAATAAATAAAAATTAGAAAAAAGTTTTTAAAGAAAAAATATTATAAAAAAAGTTTCTAGAAAACCGGAATTATAAAGAAGCTACCGTTGTCTATTAAAATATGCCACCTACAAGAAACTGTATTATAACCAATAAGCGACTAGAAGTGAAGACAAGAAGCATCCCGTTCTGGGAACTTTGCCGTAAGAGGACGTTGCGCTCTCCGGTTTGATATTTGTATTTATACCAAAATAAAATAAAATAATAAAGAAAAAACAAAAAGGAAAAATCATTCAAATTGGAAGATGATCTATAATTCTTAATCCTTTAGAACGTAGATCTTCAAAACGGAAGGAAGTCACACATTCACCAAGGTAAGGATTGCTATTCCGTTTAAAGCTACTCAATTATTTTGTAAACTTTGTGTTGGAAATATACATTGACTCTGTTTTGGAAAATAGATTGTGGTTATGGTATTTTGGGATTATTTTTTATTCTAAACTTTATCAATAAAGTTAAGGATTTAAAATTTATATTATATACTCTGATCCCAATTTTTATTTATATTAATTAAAGATAAAAATAAATTACTATTGTACTATTCGTCTATATGCGCCTTTGAAAACGACCCGAAAATTTAATTTCGTAGAATTTTCATTTAAAAACTAAATTTTTATTTCAACCAATGAGATATACCAGCTAGTATTTTATTATTGCTAAGCTGGGACCCATACCAAAATAATATAGAATATATATTACAGAAGAAAAAAACCAAGCAAGAGAGAAAACCAGACGACTTGAGCCGAATCATTGGATTCACCGGCGAGATCGAACCGGAATGGTTAGAAGCCCCAAGATTTTTTTTTTTTTTTCTCTCTTTCTTTTCTTTTTTTTTTCTTTTCTGTCTTTTCTTTTCTCTTTTTTTCCTTCTTCTTCCTTGCGCCATCAGGTAGCGCGCGACCTCCTCTCCCCCTTTCCTCTTCTTCGTTTTCCGGCCACCACGCGAGGACAGCAAGGCGGGCGCTCAACTGCCGATTCCACGCCACCAATCGCGTCTCTCGCTTTCTTCCCCGGCGAACGGGCCTTGCAGTGGCGTAGCTCGAAGCTGCCTCCTTCGGCCAACTCCCCTCTCCTCCGGCCTTCCAGCGCATGCTGATCAACAAGGTAGCCGATCATGACTTCCTAACCTCCTCTCTTGGATTCTTCTTGTTGTCAATTAGATAATTAAAAACTGTGGATTAGGGAAAATTCCTGGAAGAAATTTTGTTTAAGGTGTCAAAAAATTGAAAATTTTGGGATTTTCATTAGTAATGGCATGATTTGTGTGTAGAGTGAAGAGGATTTGAAATTTTCATGGAATATTAAGTCAAATTAGGTGCCGAAATGCTTGATCCCGGACTGCCCGCCTCCCTCGCACCTGTACGTCGGCATTGCCGGCGGCCAGGCGGTTGTTTCGGTCACCGGAGCATGGGTTATGGCCAAATGTTGACCTTTTATGTTAGATTACGAATATACAGATTAGTTTTGCAACCCAATTCAATTGACCTTCAAATATTATTCGACGCAAGATTGTAGAATTCGATGTTATAGCTGAAAACTGTTAGAGTTTTATAGATTTAGTGACCTTAAGCCAAATTTATGGATTAATTGGATCAAAGTGGTACAATTAAATATAAGATTTAAATTTATTAGATAGGATTATATATAAGTAAGAGTTTAATTTAAATAACAAGAAATAAGATTATGGGAAATAGTCTATATATAAATAGAATATTTTTACCTCTATTATAAATAAATTAAATTTGATTAGTCTGTGTGTATTTCGGTAGGCCGGGATATGTTTAATTAATTTGGTTTAGAACTTAGAAATTTTAGTGCTAATTTTAGATATTTACTTTGTTGAATAGGAGTCAAGGATTTTAAATAGTTTTTAAATAATTGCGGAAATGGGTGTATTGAAACTAATTTAGTGTTTAAGGCCCAATGAATTAC